AGAAAAAAGGAAAAGAATCCGTCGAAAACGCTCAGGTTGAGGGCTCACTCACCTTCCTAATTGGCTGTGCTAAAGGAACGAGAGACTAAGCGCGAAGAGGAGAGTATGGGGCGAGAGAGCGCATCAGATGAGAGAGCACCAGACAACGGCCTGATAAGAGAGCTCGTTCGCTGCAGCTCGAGCAGCTTACTTTGCAAGCCCCAAGCGTTCTTGTCGGTCGAATTCCGTGCACGTGAACGCCACATTTGTGATTGTCCCCTAGGGTTCTATACTTCTGACCGAAGAGAAGAGTTCACACGACCTCTGCCTGGGTTGTGCCTTTAAAGCAGATTACTCTCGAAAAAAAAATTGGATGGAATTTTTTTTCGTTGTTTCAAAAGTATGTGGACACTTAATAAAAGACGAAGACATAACTGAGATTAGAAATCAGTCGAGCCTGCGAAACTTCTAATTAGCTCAAACATCCTGTCCGGCATAATCTGAACAAACTTTGGCCCATGATTTGAGGTAGTTGCTTCGTATGTCGGCCCAAATAGCCTCTACCGCCGCCTTCAGTTCATCCGCGGTTTTGTACTGCCGGTTAGTTAAAGTAAACTCCTTGATCAAGGGTTCCCTATAGGGTTGCAGTAAGGAGAACACACAAGCCAATCTATCGCTTCAGCACCATTTCGTTTGAGGCCATTCTTTGGTAGATTGCGAAGCATTGACGTGGTCCTGTTGCTAAAATGCAATTTTCGCTGCGCTTCTCTAAGGAAAGGCAACAGGTGATATTGGAGCACTGCTTGGTATTCTTTACAGTTCATACGCAATAATGGAACGGCAACTTCCAATTTCCGCTGCTTGCGAAACCGCCGCAGACCCATCAACGGGCCTCTTCCGAAATTCCTTCTCGAGAGCACGAGCGACTCACGGCCAAGCCTCTCCAGTAGTAGCAAAATCCACCCGGCCCGTCAAGATCGAACTCTTTCCATGAGTTAAGATTACCTGAGGAGAGAAAGTCCATAAAAGTTGCTTGTTTTGAAAATAGGAAATTCTCGAAAAACCGTGTCTTCGCCCGGTGTCCTATCCTATGTTGCCATGTCTGTACGAGCAGACTCCAATGTGGCTAACTTGTGCTGGAGCCTTGAAGTGAGTAGCCTTTCTCAGCGTCTGTCGAGTGGTGTATTCATTTGAGCGGATGAGGGGCTTAGTGGTCATTTTCGAGGCTGGAATAAAAATCTGAGCTCGGACTGTCAATGAAGAATCCGACAGGATGTGGGCTACTCTTTTGTTGTTCTGAGCAGTCAAGGATCGTGGATGGAGCGGAGTGTGTGCTGAGTATAATTATCAGGGTGCCAGATAAATCTTCGAATGCATTAAGGAGAACGACCAAGTTATCGTGCGATTTCTAGATTGGAACGTTCATTATCATGCAGAACCTTGATCTGAGCTTGCTCATCTTCAGGAAGAAGTATACATGATGACGAAATGAAAACAGCAAAGTCGGATTGAAACCGGTGGAAATTTCGGCGCCAAAATCTGATCTTCTTCAAGTGTGCACATACTTTTGAAACAAAGAAAAAAATTCATCCAAAAAATTTTTCCGAAAGTGAGGCGATATTATCTGCTAAACGTTACACGTTATCGACTATGAGGAATCGATTGAAGAGGACTTTATAGCACGAAGGTTATCAGTTACCTTTTGAACATGAATATTGAGGTGTTCCCATACTTTGAAACGCATTGCACATACATACCAGAAATTAAAATTAATGGGTGATATAAATGAAAAAACTTGCTGATAAATCTCAAATCTAAACTGGACTCGAGTTAGGTTCTTATATATTCACACGTGCATATTCCTTGATTTTTGGTTTGACTAATTACTTTCGGTTCCCAATAGTATTATGTGTTTTCTCTTATTTTGGCTTTAGTCTCTTGTACGTATACATTCCATACATTATGTGACGTTCAGCGAACTGAGGTGAAAAATACTGGTCAACAAGATCGGATTGATGTACACACCGTGAGTTTACCACTCCATTCAACAAACCATCAAACTCTTCATCAGGTTTCCTCGTGGCAACGCTTTGTCCTATTTTCTTGATTTTATGTTGTTCCCAGAACTAAGATGTTCTTTCCTCCTCCTGAGAACAATGGGCGATCGAATCACTCGCACCTACTTACAATCAGCACGTGGTAAATCTCTAACGCGAACATGAAAGAGTTAATTAGGAAAGCGTACGTACGAAAAACTCGTTCATAAACGGCATATGCACATTCCATCCCCTGCCGAGCCTCCTTCGTTCTTTTAATGGAGGCAGAAGAGGTTTATTTGGCCGTTTCAGTTTGCAATGTTTCTTTCAACACCTTACCATTCGCATCCTTGCCGTAAATTTCAATCGCCATAAACCTTTAACTGGTTCCCAACCTTTGCTTCTAAAGGCAAATTCGGGCTCAGACCCACTAAGCGCAAGGTATGCAAGTGCAGAGGTAGCTTTACTTCCCTACGTGCAAGTTTTACTCAGGTGCTGGCGCCAACGACTTTGGCAGACTCCGCCAGTACTGCCATGGTCCGCCCACCGCTCGATATCTTGTCTGCGTCGCAATCTGCTATGCTCTCTCTTCTCGGATTTCTCTACCGCTCTCCGCGCTCACATTATCTCTCATCTCCCCTGGCCTTTTGAACTTCTCCGCAACGTAGAGCAAAAGGCTCGTATTTCCTGTGTATTTCACGATTTTTTTCCTTTTTCTCCACTGGCGGTCCACTTCCACCCCTACTTTCGCGTTTGAGTTTGAGGGAAATTTCCTCATCAATTTAATCCTGAATCTTGCCTTCAAAGAGAAACCTCTGGATTAGCCCGACTTGTGGGACTGATGCCGCGAGAGAAATGTGAGTTCCGTGCCCACCTAGATCACACCGGTTTCGTCGCAAAAGTTACGCGGTTAGAGTGATAATCCTTACGAGGCTGCAACCATCGACCCTCACTGCAACGCTCCCCACCCACCGCTCGATTAATGTGGAGATCAGCGCCCTCACTTGAACGTTGTGATCTCTAGCGTGTTTTGTCTTGTTGATCGCCCTGTCTCGCCATCGTACTGCGGCCGACCTTAGTGAAGGTTAAGGCTTTAGCATCAGCGTTTCCTAAGATTCTCTCGCTTTTGCTTTTTCCACTTTCAGGGTTGTACCGGCAGCGGATAAAACTGGGGATAACAGCGCTTGGCATCACTACGAAGCGCTGTTATCCCCAGTATTATCCGTGGGGCTTGCCTTTAGGCTCGTCCTTACTCATCATGCGGGCTCGTACACAGGCGGGCTTCCTCATCCTACTATCTATATATCCGTTAAGCGGTTGTGTGTGTGTCCGTGTGTGTGTTTTTTGTCTGTCTGACCGGAAATTCATAGCGCGCCCACCAGCTGTCGCCATAAGTTGATTTTGAGATATGATATAGGGGTGGGACGGAACATATCTGATGGGGACCGAAAAGTGATAACGGCTGATAGGGGCTGATAAGAAGCGTTCGAACGCACATGTCACGAAATTCACAGCGCAGAGCCCAGCAGCAATGAGGCATTGCTTTGCAGATATGATATAGGGGGTGGGACGGAAGAATATTTGATGGGGACCAGAAAGTGATAACGGCTGATAGGGGCTGATAAGGAGCGATACAAGCAAATGTACTGAAGTTCTTATCCAGATGTGGGATAAGAAAACATCTCATTTTTTGCGATGTAGTCGTGATCCATTCGACCGCTAATCTGCCCGAGCTTCCTAAGATGGTCGGTGTCTGTGGAAATACGATAAATTGGTAATTCTATCGCATCACCGGTAAAAGAAGTTATTAGACCGCTAAACTATCCCAGTATCCAAGCATGTATTTTACCGATGGCGCACCTAGAGTGCATTGTAGTTGATTTTATTTTATTTATTTATTTATTTATTACGTTGCATAAGGCAATCGTGGGAAATACAATCGTAATAAATCACTCATGATACAATTAAAACTCATCAGCATCTCAATTGAATGACAAAGGAAAATTCATCACATCACAAAGGGAGGATCAGGAAGAAAGTCAATTTCAAGATCCTACGAAACTTCATATTTGAGTAGTTTTGCAGCTTCCTTTTGAACTGCCTCAATGACATATGGCTATCAATATTTTTGGTAACTTTCATGTATGCACTTGCTGCTCTTCTGCATGTGAAGCTATTGGCTCTCCTTAAATCTTAGTTTTATGTTTTTGTATTGCCTAGTCCATTGTTATTAGTTATACGAAGTTATACGACTGCTAGACTTTGTTGGTTCTAGAAAAATTATGGATGTTTATTGGTATTGGAAGCTATGAGAAATTACTGCTTTATCATCTGCTTTCCTTAATACCATCAGTAAAATCAATTGAAAGCAGTATGTTTCTCAATACAACAGCCCGGCTATACTCTGTTTCACAGAAGCCTATGTTGACATGCACGCGACAGCGGGCGGAGCAAAACTGGTTCATTATATAAACCAGAACTTTGGTGTGTCGGTTTGTCGTGTGTGTGTGTGCGTGTGTCGTTCTGTCCGTCCGGACCAACCGCTCACAAAACCAGGGAGTACGAAGGGCAACACTTCGTGATGTTGATGTCATGATCATGATAAACCCACAGCGGCTATATAAACACCGATCGAGCACACTCAGTCTCATTCTATTATACACAAGTGGAAGGCGCCATGGCGAAGACGTGTAGCTTACGCAGGGAAGTAGCGTCCCGGCGGTTGACGGGGGACCAATCTGGTTTATAATGAACTGGGGTGATTGAGTATTCTCAATGCTGATCATGTCCACATATGCATCTTCTACACTATGCGATGTTTAAAAAAACTGCTGTCACTGAACGGCAACCTGCTTATAACAATTAATACTAATAAAATAATAATAATAATAATAATGCCGATTCTGTAGAAATGAGAGTAGTGACTAACAACCCACGAAAAGTCGCTTTTTTTCGATCCAGAAGGTCTTCATGCATAGCTTTCAGATGACATTGAAACTTTGGTTAGGCGTTCTTCTTGGAGTCGCTACGCTTGCTGGCATCGCAGTCACCGTAGCCGTTTTATTCGCCGTGTTAAAATTAGCGGTTTTCCAAAGAAAAAGCCCTATTTACGTTATATCAACTGCCAACATGCTGTGCGATTTGATTCAGCTTCTGTTGGCATTATTCTACCTCGTGCCTTCGATCATATCCGACGTAAGTGAGTACACGTGCATGAGGGTTACTTTTCTAAATGATTCGTAAAAACGTTATTTCAGAACTGGCTGCTCGAAGGAGGCCGGCAGAGCTTTGCAGTAGGATTTCTCAGTTCAATGTTCCTTTTCTGTTGGTATTACAGTTCGATTGCTCAGATATTGATGGCTATTAATCGGTTGGTTCACCACTTAACGAGATTTCACACCGAATCCAATACCTGCGAAAACTTTCAGCTTAGTTGTAGTGTGTTTCCCGGAGAATCTAATATTTTCCTTGAAAAACGTCACAATCTTCGTCATCTCACTTTTTCCTGTGGCAATATTTATGTCATGGCTATCCCAATATGCCATACCTTGCTGCAGGTAAAATTATTTCTCAAGTATTTAGACCAGCACATCTGAGATGGTAAAAGCGATAACAAAATGGCACAAAATGTTTATCAAATCAATACTTATTATATAAACCAGAACTTGTGTGTGTGTCGTTCTGTCCATCCGGACCAACCGTTAACAAAACCAGGGAGTACGAAGGGCAACACTTCGTGATGTTGATCATGATAACACCCACAGTGGCTATATAAACAGTGTCGGAGACACTCAACCTCATTCTAAATACATAGCGCTGCAATGCCAGCTGAAGGGCACGGGAGAACAGAGGGAAGGAATCCAGCGGCTCTCACGGATCAGGTCCAAATGAGTGTCGAGCTTTTATTTCAGCGTAATGTCGCCATTCGATAACACCCACAAGACTGGATATCTCGAGTGAAGCATTTTTTTGCCTGAGAGCTGTATTGTTCACGATACTGTGCTGTTTTTTTACCAGGAACACGCAGTACACACCCAAAACACTAAACTAAACCCTCGGGTTGTCTTTTCACATTCGGTGACACTATGTGGCAAAAGTGTGGCCCTTCAGTGTTCAAATTTTCAGATAACACCTTTGAAAGGATATCGAGGACCGATCAAATAAAACTCTGAAAAAATCCCCGGTGGTACTAAGGTAAACCCGATTCGCACTCAAAGGCACAAGCCGTTCACAGGAGTAAGGAGCAAGAAGACTACGATATAGCTCTGAAGCGAATCTTGAGCATTCTCAGATTGTTCACGAAACTTCCACATTTGAACCTGCGTCGTATCTCTAGCAGGGGATACACAGACGCGGGTTCGAATGTGGAAGTTCTGTGAACAGGTCAAGTCTGCCACCGGGTTTGACTTCTGGTAGTTAATAGCTTTAACTACTACTCAACGGGCTCACCAAAGAAAAGGAAAGACAAGGAGAAATTATGGAGAGGCAAATGCCACGTTGATCACCGACAGAAAAACCTCAGACAGGGGGGTTTACGTGGCATCTGCGTTTCCATATTGCTCGTCGAATTCCATTTTCATAGCCTAACTACGGGTCAAGTATATCATCCCCCTTCCCCCTACTCATAAATTTTTTCTGACCTCCACGCCACACTGACATCAATGTGACTTCTTTAGACGCGCCCTTTTAGGTGGTTTACACGACTTTCACCACCGTTGACTTTGGAAGTAAAGAGACTTTGTCGTTGCTCAATGAAGATACTTTACATTATCGTTCTAAAAAAACCTCTACCACCACAACCTGAGTTCTTATTACTGACAACAGTAATCAAATTCCCAATGATCGCAGCGGCGCACTTTATCGAGCCCGTCTGGGTGATTTTACTGTGAGAATCTAAATACACTAGTGTCATCGTCTGGATCATCGACTGCCCCTATTTCAGTACCTTCGACGGCAACAGAAGCGTATGGTAGCCTGCTCTACCAGGTTTGCTGTACACACTAAGTGGGTCAGATCATTCTATAACGAGCCTGGAGACCTTTCCTGAATCTTCTTCGTAATTCGTGGGCGAGCGTTGCCGACATAAAGCAAAGTTTCACCGATTTTCCGGGCACCATACGACACATCTCCTTGCTAACCTATTGTTCACCACAGCAAGTGGGCTTCGTTGCAGTCCGCCACCGTGACGAAACATTAACAGCCTCATGAGCTTTCAATGTTGCCTCCCAAGTTACTGTTCTGTAATCGGCGTAGCAATCCTTTGTTCTACGCATCCGAGCCAGTCGTGCTTTCGCGTGCGGTTTTTCTGAGGATCCCACTTCTTGACACCACCAACAAAGTTGGCGGATCAAGCGATAGACGGGCGGCAAATCAAAAATGTCTTGCAAAATTTAATGGTCTCAATAGCCTGTGGTCAGTCAGATCACAAAATATCCTTTCGCCATAATTTCACTTCTTTAGAGGCGATATTGAGGAACGGCCATTGTGGTCTGGTAGCACTGAAAGAGCTCCGCCAATTACCGTGCATTGCACTAAGCACTCTCTCCAATCGAATTCAGAATACACTCGTCAATGGATGGCAGGCCGACCAGATTTGGTTTTTTCTCAGTATCTGGAACTCCAGCAACCAAATAACTGGCATATTGTGAAAGATAGTCTGAAGGTCCATTACAACACGTAGAACTCAACAGCTTCGCTTCAATCGACGCATTTTATGGGCTTATAAAGGCAGGAGCAGTCGAAGATACCTTTGGGTTGCGAAATGTCACGACAGAAATGCTGTGGAGAGAGCATTAACCTACCGCTCACATGCGCTTAACAGTGAATGTTTGTTTCAAAACGAACCAAAAGATTTGCAAGGCGACCAAGAAAATGCGCAAGAACTTTCCCAACAACCATATGAAGCATAATTTGGTAGATTTTTCGTCTGTCTGTTTGTTAACACTAGTTATATTATACAATATCATGCCCTGTTCGCGGGAATAATCTCTTTCTTTCTATTCTCTTGATAGTGGCTAAAAGATTTTTTGCAGGGCCAACACTCAAATACCGCGAACTTTCAGATTCACATTCGATCACGAATTCCTCTACTCCTTAATACGTCTCATGTGGTGTGATCCCACTATACTAGAACACATATACGTGAACTTACCATTGAACACATTTTCGTCGGCGATTTGCGCCATCTGCTATTCTTATGTGAGTGCTGTCCTAGACACTGCTCTGATCAGTAACTTAAAAACAGGAATTGCGACAGCTGGGAAGTGTTGCGTCTTTGATGGCGTCATTGAACGAAATGGGTCGACTAGAGCCAAGCGCGCTTCAGAGTGCGGGGTGGAGGGGGAGGGGTTGTGGTTGGAACCGCCTCTTGGCGTACCTCCACCTACGAAGTCCAATAACGTCATCAAAACCGCAAGGTTCTCCAGCCAGTGGTACACACGCACAATTTACGATTGGACCACTAGAACAATTCTCCTTGTGAATGAGTAGCTAGGTCTCAAAGCACAAATCTAGTGGCACTCTCCCGGCTCACAAATGCGCGGTGGGAGGCGCTAAATTCCTGCATGATCAGTTAAGTCGTTCGGATACGCCCTGCTCCTATTCTGGGCTTGTGAATAGCCTGCAAACAAGGGATTCCTACTCTTAGTCTCTCTTTGCTTTTCCGCTTTTTTCTTAACCTACTTATCCAGCACCAACATTATATTTCACATCTCTAATCCCTTCTTAGAATTCGAGCCGGGCCTACAAAACATTAGCGAAATAGATTTCAGGTGATTTTCTTTGTATGGAAGATGAATCATCTCTACATAAAAGGAACGATAGGGAGCGGAAGCCGGTTGAAGGAGTACAGGTAGAGACAGTCATTTGAATCGCGAACATCTCATCACGTTCAAGTAGTTTGGTCTCAGATATGCGTTGCAATTCTGTGCTATCTCAGTATTCTACCTAGCGGCATGGGTGACGTTTCGACTATTTCCTATACTGATAGGAACCGGCGGTGTCGAATATTTCATCGTGATTTCTCTGAGTGTGACCGTTAATTCATCTGCCAACGCCTTCGTTTACATAACTTCTAATCAGGAGGTTCGTTCACCAAACTGCTAGATGCATACGTACTATCATAAGTTGTACCGAGGCATCTGTCCGAAAACTTGCATGTACACTACGCAATATGGGAGGAGGGTGGCAGGATAGTGGGATCCAGCTTCGAGCATTGCGAACAGGTGAGACTTAAATACCATCAGATTCGAGGGCGTAAATAGGTGCATGGTTTGGGCGCGATTGCAAGCCACAAGCCGAAATCGCCCTGGTCACTCGTTTCAACTTGCAAATGTGACACTACAGTACTCGCCGTTTGAAATCGAAAATTCACGCGAATAACGCGAATCCTCGTTAATTTCGTGAATTCGTTATAAC